ACTTACATACTTGTTCTGTTTCCTCCTTCCCCAAACACTTTAACTCCTTATGGGATTGCACATGGGAAAGAACAGTATTGAAGAAAGCCTGACCACCAACCTTCACCTCTGTGGTTCAGGTACATTTCCAGGGTGCATTCAGTTACTTTCCAGAAAGCAGAAGTTTAAAACAAAACAGAAAAAAAAAAAGTACTGACAACATATAACCACTGTAACACTTCAACATCACAGCACATTAAATGAGTCTTGTCTAAATTCTCACAGAAGGAATCAATATTTTAATTTGAATGTAGATCTTTCCAATCATTTTGTGTTGGAGATATCCAATTCTCTCAACTTATTTTCTTTTACATGTCACAGAATGATAAACATAGTTTTGCTTGATATTAACTCTATTTTATGCCTAATGTTCATATCCTATGGATAAAAGACACTGTAGAAATATTATGTATTATTATTGTTATTTGTAGTCATTTACTGGGAACATTAATAAAAATGTATTTACTAAGAAGCACGAAGATTAAATTATTTTTAACATCCTTAGCATATCTTAAGTGCACTAAAGCTCATATCCAATGGTTATTGAAGTCAATGGAAGGATAACTACTCTCTTCAGTGGCCTTTGGACCAGACTGCAAAGCATAAAACCCATTATGAATGTGAGTGGTAATTTGGCCTACGCTTAAATAAAACTAAGGAACAAACAACTAAGATCAGACTTGTGCATCACAATCTGAACGAGCTCAAGCATGTAGTGTACTGTACTACCTGCATTTAAGACATAAGGCATAACATTGATGTTTTTACTTTATTTCCACAACAAATTCAGGGCTCTCACGAGAAGCAGAGCTTTCTTGACAAGCTTGGATACCAGCATGAAAAACACAAAACCCAGTCATAACTTCTGGTTGCTCTTTCTTACTTCCAGATTGGGGAAAATTTATACCTTCATATTCTGGATAATTGGCTGATTTCTTAAAGGAAGCCTCTGTACACCTTATTTTCTGAACAGCAAGCTGAATTACAATTTTGTTGCTATCAAGGAAATGCAGCATTTTCAGTATTCCAAGGCATAAATTATATGCCTGGTTTACGACTGAGGGCTAGTAGCTTTCCCCGCATTCTAGGCTTCTGTTAATTTAGGAAATGTACACCTTCCTGCATTTACTTCTATTTCTTTCAGAAACTATCTGTAATAGAATCCTACTGGAAGACTAATTTGCTTGCTAGCTATTGCATTATAGCTTTACAAAGAAAAGAACTAATGCACTCAAACTTACAGGCCCAATTTACAACGGTTTTGTGAAAATTTGTATGAAACTTGAGGCTTCATAATTCATTCACTTTCTTATGCCTCATAGTTAAAGTAACCTCCACGGATTAGAAGCTGAGATCTTTTTTATGCTAAGCTTGAAAAGCATGGAGGGGCTTTACCTGAAAAAGATAAATCATTTAACATTCACCAAAGGCTCCGCAATGGAAATGCTGCCCATTGGGTTCTCTTTCTCAAGTCGAACTCTTCTGAGGCAATTCCTTTGAAAAGTAACAAAAATACTCCTACTGTTTTCTTTTAAAACACTCATCTCTGAAACTCTTTACTAATTCAAAACATTAAAAGGTATCAACAATTCAGTAGTAAAATTACAGCTTCTCTCAGGAAAACTCTGACGTTGCTTTTTCAAGTGTCTGTTGCAGTAACACTGCAAGTCCTTCTCTGATCCCTTCTGCAAAATCAAGCATGAGCAGGTTGCATAAGAGTTCGAAAGCAAGACCTGCAACCCACTTGCATTAAAGAACAACACAGTTCTTGCTGCCTGACCTTGCCACAATAATACTGGATGTCATCACGTTGTCAAAGGTGTTGTTTCCCCACATGAGACAGTGGAGCTTCAAAAGGAGACTTTTGTCTTTTAATAAGCATGTACAACTGTATTTTATACACCCACAGAAGTAAATACCTCTTTTCATGTAAGTGCACACATACATATACTACAAAGAATCAATGTAGGAACACGCACTTGTCCAAAACTAGAACAAACACCTACATTTAATTCGACAGAGGGAAAGAAAGATGCTGTAACAGCTTCAGCAGAGAGATGATAGATGAAGGCAGATACTCCATACATCTCATAATGCACAGTGGCAGTAAGCTCCATGAGAGAACCTGAGCTCCTTTCTTTGAGCAACTTCTAATATTCCCAGCCTTAGTGTGATCTTAAAACAGCTGCCAGTTGTTCAGTCTTTAAAACATCAAAACCAGCAGTGGTGGTATTCCTTAACCCCAACAGTCCCTTCTCTGGATACTGGTGAAGAAAATGAGGAAGGAATGATAAACAAGTAAGGACACTAGGTCTGGGAACAAAAGAAAACCAAACCAAAACAAAAAAACAAAACAAAATAACAAAACCAAACAAACAAAACACAAAGAAAAACAAACAAAAAAAAAACAAACAAAAAACCAAACAAAATCCCCAAACAAACAAACAAAAAACCCAAAACAAAACAAAAACAAGGGATGCTTTCTATTTCCTGAGACTTGACATTCCCAACCCCTCCTTTGTCAGTCTAGTCTCTATTTTACACCCCCAAATCTTTCAGAAATGTGCCAGCCATACCACAAGCTGATGCTCATTAGCAGAGCTAGTCCACATGAGGATGTGGACCTTGTGCCCACCACAGGCCACAAGATTTTGCTGGGCAGTGTTTTATCTCACTCCGCTCCCACTGAACACAACCAGAAGACACAAGTGCAGCTTGTTGTGTGCACAAGGCCTTGAGTCTCACACAGAAACATCTGTTCACCTCAAAATAGAAAAGAAATTCAAACTGAATGTGCAGGTCATTTTTTTCTCACCTCATGGCCTATTCATTTAGAATAAATGCAAACAAACCCCTGAATTTAGTTTTGCACTTACTTAAGAATACAACTCACTACATACCCACTAAGAGTTAGATTCAGCTTTGATGAGTTCCTTGGAAACTGTACCATGGCTGGGCCTTAGCAATGCAGAACTTACAAAGGAAACACTGGTCCATCACTTGGTTCTTTTTTAGCCCTATAGTGTAAAATGTAGGCAAGATCTAGATTTCCTATTCAGCCTTGGTTCTCCTTATTTCTCAAATTTAAGAATTAACTATTAACTATTTAATTACTTTTGCATGCAATTTCCTGTCATTTTTTATCTTTCAAAATTTATAATTATGATGTTTTTATAGGGTGGTAATATATTATGTTTTACTCAATCCCACAAAATTTACAAATTTCTCTGCTAAGTAGGTGAAAACCAACTTTAAAAAATTGGCTCAGAAAGATCACCAGGATAATTTCTTCCTTCTTAGTTGTTCAGTTTTTGAAAAAACGTATGTTCTGTATACACTTGGTGCAAATACACACTAAACAAATCTAAAATCAGATATTGTCATTCTTATGATACAATAGACATTGGTGGAGCATGCTTTTAGTTCCTGACACAAATTTTGCAGTGCTTTGCATGCTAGTCTACCTATTGAAATCCAAATGACCTCTTGAATGAAGAAAAATGTATGACATGCAGGAAGTCTCAACAAAATCAGTTCATAGTAAGTTATTATTCCGTAAAGATGCTAAAATGTCATCCAACACAAAAAGAGTGCACTTATCAGATTTTTCTCAAAACAAAACAAAAAATCCCCTACAAACTGCCCCGGTGCATAGTCCTTATTTGGCTGAATAAGTCTCTGTCATGGATGAGTGGAATGCGCTTCAATCAAAAGAAAGAAACTGCAATGTGTTTTATTGAGGCAAAATTATTTGACAGACGTCAATAAATTCGATGGAATGCAACAAAGTTTAACAGTGGTTTAAGGTTCAATACGTTTGATGGCACGGTTCATCTTATTAATTGCTGCATGGAAGAAACATACAAGGGAAAATTGAATTCATATGATTCACACAGAGACCAGGGATGAAAAGAGGACCCTCCCATTGAGTCACAAGGTTCAGAGTGGACTCCCTTGCTTTCTAAACTCCTTATGGAACCTGAACGTGGCTGGATCCAACCTTAGGGTCAGACTTGGTCAATAATTGAAGTTTAATGGAATTATCCATACAACATTTCTAACAATACTGAGTAGCTACACAGACCTGTAATGTTTCGTGCAATTAATTCAGCATGCTACAGTCATTTACGAAGGATCTGTCAGGGGTAAGGGATCCCTCTGCCTTGGATAAGGAAGGAATCCCTACCCTTGAGAGGCATCCCTGCTCAAGTGGAGGGTCACCTGGTGTGCAGTCCAGCTGCACATCAGGGAGGGATCAAACTGGGCCCATCCTGATGGCAATATTTATAGGGTGAAGTAGTTGGCTGCTAGTCAATAGCACAGATAAGATAAGACATCTTTGTTTTAGCTCGGATATCTTGTTCTCTGCTTTGGTCATCTTGCACTTCTGGTTTCAAAACCACCTTTCAAAATACTTTGCAAGACATCTTCACTCCCTTGAATGTGAGCCAAGGACTTCTCAGCTGGCAAGTTCACCCAGCGACAAAAGGCCTGTTGCTCCTTAGCCAGCCTAAACCAAAGTTCAGCTAGGAGTCGAGTGTATCCGTCATACTTTCATGGTCTATAATTATTAGACACCATTTGATAATAATAACAGCCTTTTCTCCTCTTTTTTTGGGTGATTTTCAAAGAACCCTCATCCTCCCTTACAGCTGCTAACAATGTAAAATAGAAAGATGAAGTGGTGGCCTTTCAATGGATGTCACTGATTGGGAGGAGAAAGAGATATGGAAATTTACATTCTGATGAATTCTTCAGGGAATGTCTTACTGAAAATCAAAGCAGCAGAAATCATAAAGGGGGACATCCCTTGGTGATGAAAATCTCAGGCAGCAGAGCTCCTTAGAGAGAAAAAGACTTGTCATAAAAATCCCTTTCATACCCTTGTTATGTTCCCCAAAGATTCAGTCTCCCAAAAGACCTCTTTGGATGCTTATGATTGCACAAGAAAGCTTATGCACCCATTATTTATAGAGAGGACATTGGTTTTAACAACTCAGATATATTTTGTTCTTAAAAATAAAAGGCCTAAGTGCTAGCTTTGTAGGTACAAACCCACTTGCAGAAATATCAGCTGCACATACTTCTACTGCAGGACTTTGCTATGGGTTTAGAGGAAGAAATCTTGAACTGGACTGTAACCAAAATCCCCAATTCTGTCAATGCCAGCATGCAAAGCTGGGCAGCACATTCAGTTTGCTCTGCTGTCATATGCTGATTTGTATAATCAGTGTATTCAAGAGTGTAAGTACCAAGACAGATGCTATACTTCCATTTCTTACAAGTGATGAGTAGCTTTATTTGCATTTTTAAAAGACATTCTGAAAATGCAAAACCTAATGATGTAATTTACCTTGTAGGGCTCCCCAAAGAGGTTAAAACCTGAAGCAAAGAGATCTTCATCTTGCTGGACTTCCTGGTTTCTCCTCTCCCATTCCTTCCGTTTAAGTGCACTCCGGTCTTGCTCATAGTGACTGAAGAAAAGAAGGATCAAAAAGACATGTTATTTTCCCCACAACTTAGTTACATGTTCATTACTACCAGCAATAGCAGCAAAATCTTAGAAACAATGCAACTCCCAAGGACAATTCTGAAAGAAACAAACAGCCACTGAATAATTTTCCCAAATGTAAACTTGGAATCATAAAACTACACAAAATTTGCCAGTAGGACAGTTAGGACACTTCTAAAATGAAAACAGACAAAAATATCCTTTTCAAATTACAGAACATTATGCCAAATAATAAAATGTATCTTGATGTATTTGTACAAACTCTGTAAAATGCATGTGCCCATAAAGCATGAGTCTGTGCAGAGAAAGTAAATGTGAAGTCAAGGAAGCACAGCAACATCTACAAATCCATTTAACATCCATCCCAATGCTCCAGTTCAGCATCATGTGATTTAGACCACCTAATTCTGTCCCACTTCTTGTTAAAATGTATATACAGCTTCATTGTAGGTGTCAAGGGGGGGTTAACAAGTGTTTTTGTAGCAGCAGGCTGCCGGAAGAGACTTTAGGATAGTTGATTCCAGTATCAGATAATTCTGCACACAAACACACAGAAAAGGATCTAGCACCTCAGTGCAGCAATGGTGAGTGGCACTTATCTGTGTATTGGCTTACTTTGTGCACCTGCCAGACCTAGATGACAAGCTGAGAGACTACATTCACTTCTCCCCTGAATAGCGCTGAAGTACTTTGGTCTCTTGGCTTTGCAAACTACCTCCTGCTCCTCTGAGGGAAAAGATATAATTAAAACCCTGAAGGAGGGGGGAAAAATAGGAAAGGAAAGAGGAAAGGAAAAGATGCATGCTTCAACTTGCACTGACAACCTCTCATGTGACAAGCATTAAGGGACACTTCTGTGCTTTCAACCCGTATTTGATTTGTTATGAGTCTTTTGGCTCTGCTTTGTGTCAGTTAATTAGCTACCAAATTCCAGATGACAATCTGAATAGCAGATTCAGTCTATCCTGATGTTATCTACAGTAAGCAGTATTTCTGGACATGCATGTACACATCCATGCACAGCCACTATGTGCAAATGCTTACATACAAACATACATATTACAGCTGTAACAAAGAACAGTTAATTCTCCTATCTCTGGCTAGAATGAATTAAATCTCCATAGAGATCCACTGCACTTGGAAGATAACCAAATACCTACAACTTTTGCCTTTTTAGCTCAGCATGATGTTGTATTGAAAGCTTCACACCGAGAGATATAATGAGGAATGAACTGCACAGTGATGAGGCTTTAACAGTGTATAAAGTCACTGATTTCTGAGTGAAACCACAATTACTAATTTGAAGCACCAGCTAATTAAAACCACAGCTATGTATTTAGCCTCTTGTTATACCTACTGCAGTTTATAATTATGAGGACCTCTTTATCTACTCAATTAAAGTTCTTATGATTCAGGCAGGTTGTGTTTGAACCTGCAAGCCCTGCAGAGAGCACAGGAATGCATATGTCTGTTGCCTCATGACTCCATGTATCCTTACACTCATATACTTGTTTTTGTACAGGGAAGGAAAGAAAAAAACAGGAAGACATGTCACAATGAGATTCCTAAATAAAAAATATGAATTAATAATTGGTTTAAACAATTCAAGAACACTCAGACTTGGATTGAATAAGGCTTGATTATGGCTTGTAAACTGAATGTGAAGCCACCTACATAGGCTGAGCTGCATGATTTCCATCCACATTTTCCTTTTAAAAGTTAGAAGGCTGAAAATATGCCACATTTTGTTTTATTTAATTTATTAACACCTCCTGATGTAGTGACATTCCTAACACCACCAGCAAGCTCCAGAACATTGTTATAATCAAACCTGTCATTTCTGCAGGAGGTGTAGTACTGTTTGCTGGTTTCCTGAGGGAGATGGAAGGGAAATTGTTGTAAGAACAGTCACTTTACTATTCCACAGATGACCACATTGCTGACGCAAACAAGCATGAAGGGGGGCACGAGTACCCTTTCCTTTTATATACGAAATCAAGATTATAATCCACAAGTATGTGAAGAAGTCAGTGCAAGCTGCTTCCCAAATTGGTACCCAAAGATGAGGACGAGGTTGATGTTATCTCTCCCCACAACTTTGGAATAGGGAGGTAGTTTAGCCCAGAGATAATCCAGCCCAGGAACAGCAGGTACACACTGTATTCTCCCCTCTCATGGGAGATCTTTCCAGGGATTTCTTTGGCAGTTTGACCCATAGACTGTGGCTCTTGCAGCAAGATCAGATCATTATAAAGTTATAAGCCCAGTCTTGTGAATCTAGCCTAAGCAAGATTTTATATCCTGCATAAGTAATCTTTGCTTATGGGAGCAGTTCTATCCCAGGCACTGCCAGCATTCACTTCAGAAAGAATTATTCATGAAAGTTAGAGCTGCATTTTACGGCTTCCCATAGGCATCCTTGGCCTGGGGTTTCAGCGTGAAATCCTGGGTCCATTCAAATCAAACTGCATTTGGTCACTGAACCCAAGGATCACAGATTACAGCACAGACCATATCTCATCCTTCATGTGAAGTTCCAGCACTTGGTTATCTAAAAGTCAGCTCTGGTCACAAGTATGCAAAGTATTTAGGGAACCAAATGAGACATTATGCCATATCCTATCTGAGAAAAAGCAGCCAAGGCCCTAAGACTATTTAGATATGTTTTGTGACAAATTACAAACCCACAAATTCAAAAATTATGAAAACAGCAGTGGCATAATTCAAAATGGCATAATCACTTTAAACGACATTATCTTAAGCCAACACAGTTAACAGTAAAAGGCTGAAAAATGGTGTTTTCCAACACAACACAATGAAGTATTTCTCTTTTAGTGTGTTTATGAAAGGTATCTATTCCAAGCACCCAAGAGGTGAGCACAAATGGGTTCCTCATGCCCTCAACCAAACAACATTTACAGACTACAAACTGTTAGCATCTGTGTTACAACACAAGCAAAGCCCTAAGTGAATTGCTACCTCTGCATCAGTCCAAATCTCTCTGTCATATATTCTCTTGCGAGAACAAAACAAACAAAAAAAAAAAACCAAACACACACACGCACAAAAATTAAAGCTTCATTTTGTGTTTTCCACTGACACAGCCACATGACAGCCTTAAGTGTGCAAAGCATCTACGCAGGAGGAAGTGGTTGCTCATCCTGTCAGGTCCATTACTTGGCTTATTTCTCTGCAAATGTACTTTTGTCATGGGAATATTTGACAGGGCACTGATTGTGGCTACGGGAAGTCAAATATTGTAAGATCATACACAGATTAGGATAACAATTTATTTGGGTTCCTTGTAATCCAAAGAGGGTGCTGATTAGATCTTAAGGCTGCAGTGCACTGAGAATCTAATGGGATGCTCTCCAGAAACTCTTAATGCAGCCACAATGCAATCTCTGGGACTTATGTTTAATTTTCAGCTTAACTAATGTTCTGTGAAATACAGATATGTGATTAGTGGTGAAGGTGTCAGTGAAAACTATAGTCAAATACCGTGAGGAACATCAGAGTTCAGTCTGTCTCACTACTATGTGAAATACTTCATGACTCCTCTAAAGCCAGGAGAGCAGAATATCACAATACAGACTTTAGCAAACATTTGTAAAAAAAGAGATTTAGAAGAAAACAGCTGTAGGCCACGATATTCACTGTATCTGAGAGGGCCAGTTCCCTAGACACAACTATTGTGTGACAACGCAGTTTAAATACATGAGCTCTATTGTTTTGTTACCACTTACTAGATTAATAATTGAATTTGAATGTACATAAATCTGAGAAGATCAGGAATGGTGAGATGTAAGAATGGCACAAGAGCACAGGAGACCACTGAACTACAAATTACCAGTGTGCTGGATACGGCAGAAAGAATAGCAAATACAACTGTATTATTGTTTTGGTATGTTTAACATTGTGGCAGGCTGCAAATGCATTTTGAATAACAGCATTTCATACTTATTTCTTTACAATGAGAGCAGCGTACATCCATTTGTCATTCTGCTCAGCTATGGACACCCTAAGGGACAGCAGTGAGCTGATGCACTGTGACAGGGCAGGTGCTCAGCAGAGTCTGCTGAGTGTCAGTGAAGCCTGTGGAGCTGCACCCTTCACCCTCACTGAGGCCTATGGTGGCTGTGAGGACAATCCAAATCAATCTCAATCTCTGGAGAATGGAGAAGGGGAGAAGGTGGCTGAGGCAGGAGGAGGTTATATCAAGTGAGAAGATAACAGACATTCACATAGGTTTTGGATTGGAATCTAAAAATGCGGATCTGGCGATATGAGATAAAAGTCAGACATGCTGGCTACAAAAGGGAGAACTAGAAGGAGAATAAAATTTGGGGCACTGGAAAGGACAGTGAAATCATCTGTGGTGAAAGTGAGAGGATGTGGTCCAAAAGATCTGGAGGAAAAAGAAAAAACCTTTTAGGACAGACTACAACAAAGTAAGAGGTTAGAGGGAAGAGTTAAAGGAAAGCTGATGAAATGAGACCAACAGCTAAAGGCTGAGACCTAGCATTCAGGGTTTGCTTTCAAATTTGTGCTAACTGAAGCCACAGAAGTCTCCCAAAGCACAGAAGACTAGGCAAGGCAGACAAGAGCCTGAAAGACAGGAGAAGGAGCAGAAGAAAGAAGTCAGACCAGACAAGTTTGAAGGAGTAGTCTCTGTGATATTAAGAAAAAGAAGAAAAGAGAAAAATGATCAAACATTTAATGTTGCAGACAAATCATGAATGAGAACAGAACACTGCTCTGTTGATTCAGTCAAAACAAAAAAAGCCCAGTAGGAAAAGAATCAATAAAAAAGCTGGAGCAGAGAGGCTTTATAGCAGTGACAGGGTACATCCACGAGGATAAATGAATGACATTCAAGAAAAACAACATTTATCCACAAGATAGGGAAGAAGCAGTTGCTGTTCTCAATAACATGTCTCAATTCACAAAAATGCACACTAT